ACCTTAATGATTCTGTGATTCTAAGAAGGAATTAGAGTGATCCCTGAATATACTCCTAATTTCAGATATGTTTTCTCTGAAGTAAACAATGTGAAATATGATTGTTTGAAGCAGTGGTGATGCTGAAGTCTGTAAAAGTGTGACTTGCACAAGGCTGCTATCAGAAGCAGTATGGACCCAGCAGACAGGCTAGCTGTAAGATCCAGAAGACTTCAGCTCTCCTTTGTCTGGTCTGGTTCCACTGTATGAACTTGTCATTTCATCCCTTTTACCTCTCTTTTTCTTGATTTTTATTTTTTTTCCTATTTACTTGGTGCAATCTTTCTGCAGAAGATATACTGCCATTTCCTAGAGACATGAATGCTATCTATTGCAGTATATTTCTCAGACCTCTGTCAGGGCCTTGGTGCCCACATGGATTCTAAAATTGGAATCAGCCCTTTATGATGTGTCCCACAGATATTGTTGTAAAATCTAGATGGTTTCCACATGGATTTTCTGATCACCAAATATCTTCAGAAAGCGTTTTGGAGTAAAGCTTTCTATAATTACTGTTCTGATCTGAGGATAACATGTTCCTGTTCTGCAGGATGTTGATCCAGGACAGTCTCCACAAGATCCCGTGGGCCGTCCCATCATGCACCAGTCTGGTATTAAGCATGCCACTGGTGAAGCAGTTTACATTGATGACATTCGTCCAGTGGATGGAGAACTTTCACTGGCTGTGGTCACGAGTACTAAAGCCCATGCAAAGATTATGTAAGTAAGAAAAAACTATATGCACCTAAGTATGTTAACAAGTATTTTCTATTCTTTTTGTCCGATTTGGCAGTATTATGAGGTATGTATTACAAATGAGGTAAGAATATCTTTACTGTGTGCTTTAAATAGTGTCAGATATGGACAGAAAAGTCCATAGTAATGCATTCACCCATTTTAGTACAAAAAAGTAGAAAGAAAATATATTCTTGGATTCTGCATGTACTGGGACTAGAATTTAAAGAGCTGTTCTGTGCCATGCACACACAGATGCTCATGTCTTCCATTTATTTCTTTCTCAATATGCTAATCAACACTTTTCCTCTTTCTTCTCTACATAGAGATCTGTGGTGAGATTACCAAGTGGATTACGTTTCTGTCCTATTGTTCACTTAATTACGTGTATTAGAGATATTTGTACCATGTACTGTCCTCGTTTATGTGCATGTTCTACTTTCCAGATCAATTGATGCATCAGAGGCCCTTCAGGTGCCAGGAGTGGTTGATGTAGTGACAGCAAGAGATGTTCCAGGGGAAAATGGAAAGGATGAGCAAGCGTATGCAGAAGATAAAGTAATTCTTGCTTCTGGAGTAGTGTCTGGACCTTTTGCTTCAGTTATTTACAAAAAAGGAAAATGAGTTTGCAAGTATCATCTTATTGCAATGAAATTAAAATAAATGCAGTGCCAGGCAGGCTGGATTGAAGAGAATTACCATTCCCCAGTGAAACAGAAAGGAAAAGCTCTCTTAAATAACTTGGGTTGTAAATGAATCAGCCATGATTCCCTAGGGGCTGATAAATGAATTATTTTCATGTATTCTGAGAAAGGATGAAATAGCCATGGCATTTGAGATTTTCAAAGATGAGACAAAATGAAAATTGCCGAGCTGGAACCAATATGAAATTGATTGCCACATTATACATTAGAATATGGCAATGGGAGACAACACTGTTTCTTTTTGTTGAGCATCAACAGAGCTAAGAAATGTATAGGAACCGTGCAGCCAGCATGACCACACAGACTGTCCCAGGCCTCAGGCTGTATCCATCACAAGTGACACTGTTGCATGATATTTGCAATGGGGCAGGAATAATTCCTAATGTGTTACTCTTATGTCTCTATTCCTTCTCATCTGCGTTTCCTACCTTTCTTTGTATTGACAAGAAAAACAGTCTGTGCCAGATGGGATTTTACTTGGCACAGTATCTAGTCACCTCAGGATGGACACAAGGGAAGTGTTCATGACTACTGATGTCAGCAGCATTTCTAATGTTGCAGCAGATGAAAGATGTGAACAGACTTCTCATCTAATGAAGCTAAGTGTGCACTGGGATAGTATTCGTAGAGAAACAAAATATAAAATTGTCATCTGAGGAGAATCTATTTCCACAAAACACTCACTGTACAGAAACTTAACACTCCTGTGTTTTTTCCTTGAATAATACATTGGTATGTTGCAGGTGATTTGTGTTGGTCAGATAATCTGTGCTGTGGTTGCAGAGTCACTGACTCAGGCAAAGTGTGGTGCTGAAAAGGTGAAGATCGTGTACCAAGATTTGGAGCCAATTCTGACCATTGAGGTAACAGTCTGTCACCTCTTCCTTGTCTGATAGTCACCTCACTATTTAGTGCAGAGCTCTGACAGGCTTTGGATTTTTTTTTTTTTTTGACATGAAATATTACTTTATTGGTTCTGAAGATGAAGTGTAAAGACTTTATAAATGGCCTCCAAAGTTTTATTTTTAGAAACACACAAAAACAATCTTATTAGGCAAGTATGTTAGAGACTGGTCTTTGTGGATCTAGGACAAAATTGTTAAAGAATACTCAGAAAGTTTTAAGTGAGTTTTAATTCCATGCCTCCAGGAGCCAAATTCCCACCAGGAATAGGTCAGTATAGAATTAAATTTGAGAGCTTATGTTTGCAGAAGTTCTGGAATCACACATCCTGCATCCATGTTCTGAAAAATTTCAAGTCTGGCAAGTTTTCAGTAGCAAGCAATCTGATTATGAAATATTTTCAACAGCTCTGAATGCCATTAACAGACATTTAGTATTCCTAATTGGGAAGAAGAGCATGACATGAACGACAAAAAATAAAAAAGACCAGAAGCTCTCTTTGATGGTGGAAAGGGAACAACTATCCTGCTCTTTCTAATACTTAGCTACAACCATCTGTCCATCTGAAAAAGGATCATATGGATGATGAAAGATTGTGCTATATAGAAATCGTCTGACTTTCTGAATTCTAGTTAACATGTTGTTTGTTGTTTTTTTATTTTCTGCAGGATGCAATAAAACATAATTCGTATATTACTGAAGAAAGGAAAATAGAAAAAGGAGATATTGAGAAAGGATTCGAGTCTGCTGATGAAATCATAGAAGGTAGTTCATGCGTGCAGTGCATCAGGCAAGAGAAGGGAATTCTGCTACTTCAGAATCTGTTTCCAGCTGGTGGCTGAATTTAAATTTCTCTTCTCAAGAAAACATTACTCTTTTTGGCTTTTTCCACTTCACTGGGAAGGGAGATGAAATCGTCACATTTAAATGAAGCTTAGCTAACAATTTCTCGCTCATGTTGACTGAACTCTACCATGTCCTTGTCTTAAAACTGAGGACTAGGGCACTTCATTTTAGTTAGCTAGGACAAACATTACAGCTAAATAAGGCTTTGTTGGGTGTTAGCTAATTTAACTTACCCCATTTTAAGTTACCTGCTTGATTTAAAGCTAATCCCAGATAAAAAGGGATCGGAGTACACTGGTCTGGAGTACCACTCCTACAGTCACCAAATTCACGGTCTTCAAATAGTAAACAGGAGCCAGTAGTCCCAGAGCATACTCTCTGCATAAATATCAGACCTGTGTTTAAGAAGTATCAGTGAAGAATATTCCACAATCTCCTACAGTAGTTAGTTCTAGAGTTTAACTGCCCTTCTAAGTAGAATGCTTCTTTTTATAATAGCTAATCTAAATATCCTTTCCTGCAAACTTTAAATGTTCACCCTCTAAAGAGTCCTCTCATCTTTTCCCCACAAGTCATGTCTGCTAACCTTTATCATTGTCGCTGCTCACTTCTCCATTATCTCGTAATTTCACTACATCCAACTTAACTTCCTTCACTTTTTTGGGCTGAGCCCCCTCAATTCTCTCAGTCTTTCCATATAGGTTCATGACCTCTGATGATTTTTTCTGCTCTCCTTTGGACTTGTTTCCAACTGTTCCCCATCAAATGTCATGTCACCCTATAGTGGCTTCAGTTCTGATTCCTGCTACTTCTGCGTGAACATATGTTTCAGGAATAATTGTTAGGGAAATATTGTCAGACCCAAGGATGGCATAAAGTTAAGGTTACACAGAGAATTTACAGAATTAGCTTTCATGCTGTGCTGACAGGTTTCCCTCTCTGTAAGGAAAATTGTACAAAAGTAAAGTGTTGGATAGAAATGGGTACAAAAAAGTGTGTAACAGGAAAAGGGCACACTGATGGAAAGAAGACAAGAAAGGAAGAGGAAAGATGTGTTTTCCTTCAAAGAGTCAGTCAGAAGACGACATTATAATCCTATTATAGTACAAGAGATGTAGCCTCCTAAAGAAGAAAAAGCATGAGATATTAAATTGATACTGATCTTATCCTGGGAAGGAGAAAAAAGCTATACAAGGATTAAGTGATTGAATAATTTCCTCTCAATAAACACTGGTCCCAGAAGGTGTAAATCTGAGATAGAAATAAAAAATAAATGAAGCTGTTTTTCTTCTGTGACAAAACTCTTTTCCCCTGCCATATATACATATATATAGGCAAATAAAAATTTCCTTACAGTTCATTTGAAACCCAGCTTAGATTTTCCTATAATTATACATGTAACAGGTGAATTGCATGTTGGAGGACAGGAACATTTTTACCTGGAAACAAACAGTGTGCTTGTTATTCCAAGAGTGGAGGATAAAGAAATGGACGTGTATGTGTCAACACAGCATGCAACAGATGTACAGGTAAAACAAAGTCTTAATGAAACCTGTTTCTTACCTTCCTAAACAACCTTAAAGATGAACTACACAGACAGAAGCTGCTTTCAGTCTTCTGTGCTTCTCTTGAAACTCCCTAATAGTGTTCCCAATTCAGATTGATTTGAGTCTTTTTATGAAAATAAGAGGCCTGACTACTAATGATGAAGCTGACTGTAACAGTAAGTCTTGTGCTATTTGTATTATCTAATCCAGTGCAGACACAAATGAGTAGTATTGCTATGGGATGAACAAAGGGTATCTTGGGTAGATAATATGGCTGTAATCTTCTTGTCAAGAAAAGACTAATTCTGTCTCAGATATATTGATCAAATCCTCCTAAAATCTGTGAGAATCCTGGACAATCACTTTTTTTTTCAGCAAAGGGTGTCTTCAGCTTTAGAAAGAGTATTCAGGCAAGTTGCATTGCTCATATGAGTAGTTACATTGTTGATGATGGGGCCATGTCTGTAAATAATGATAAATTAATGTTAATAATAACAACAAATGAATCATATGAAATTATGGGGAAAAAAAGGCTAACAGGTCCTAGCTAGCATCAGAATTGGATTGTAGACCTGTAGAAAACAAGTTTCAAAGAATATATGTTACTTTCTATATGTTTAGGATTAGCTTTTGTAGTTCCTCTCTGGCTTGCATTTTTTAAGCTTTCCCTGTCAACCTGGCAAGTTAAACCTCTATTTGCATCTCTGAAAGCACTGTCAGGAGATATTTTCAGAATGAAATGGGTTGTCAGTATTTTAGCTACACTCTCTAGTGTGCTGTAAACAATCACTCTGTTCCATTCAACTTGATATTTTAGTGGATGCTTTATCTCCAATCAAAGGTAAAACGTGCAGTTCTATATAGAGATTATAGTATCTGGTATCAGATAATCAAATGAGTTTATGGAGCTATTTTTACATTTCCACTCTTCTTTAAAGAATAGATTGTGCTTTCATTAGCATCTTTACTTGTTTGAATTTTTTTTTTGTTTGTTTCTATAGCAACTCTAGTTTTCTGCCCAGGATTCTGAAACCTGTTAGCTTCTAATAGATGATTAGCCATGGAAAACAGGCCATTTTTAATGTACTTTGGTAGGTGACAATTCTCAGTAAAATCTTGGATGTTTACTTTTGCAGGAATTAGTGGCTTCAGCTTTAAACCTCCAGTCCAGTAAAATTATGTGCCATGTGAAACGTGTTGGTGGAGCATTCGGTGGGAAGATTACTAAACCTTCACTCTTTGCTGTAATTGCAGCAGTGGCAGCCAACAAGTAAGTTGATTTAACTAAATCAAATGACAAATTAAAGATAACAAGACTGAATGAAAAAGAAACTGCAGTCCTGAACCATACTGGGGGGAGGTGTATCTTGACGACATAATCTTTTTTATTTCTTTGGCAGTAAATCTTGGATAGAGGCTTGAAAATTCTCTGGGCTTTTTGCAATGAAATTCACTTACTATCTGAAAGCCAAAACAAAGGCCCCATGCAGTTTCTCTCAGGGCTGATCTGTACAAATCCCAACAATTCAGGCTTTTCCCAGGCACAGTGGCTTGAATTTCACTCTAGGTCTTCAGTGAAAATGTTTTTTGTCCTAATACATAGGTGTGCTCACATCAGGACTTTGTGACACAGCTCCACAGCTCTCCTTTACTCTGGCTTCCTTGCCATGTCCTGTGTGTGCTTCATGGAACTTGCATCTCCCTGTTGAGAAGCTAAAGGGAAACTACTGAAAAGCTCATTTCCTCTACTTTGTTTCTGTAGCCAAAAAAAAAAAAAAAAAAACCACCTCAGCCTAAACTCAGGCATGGTAGGTGAATAAGAAACTAAAACATAGAATGGACTGATTTATTGCCATCTCTAGGAGTTTGGGCATGTACATGTAACATCTTGGCAATCTGCATGAATAGTTGTTAATAAAAATGTATTTTTTTATGTTCACTTTAGGACCGGGCATCCAGTCCGTTTTACCCTTGAAAGAAATATGGATATGTTAATCACTGGTGGACGGCACCCTTTCTTTGGAAAATATAAAGTGAGTGAGAGGAAAAGATATTTTGCTCAATTACTGGGTAATAGTTTCTTCTGGGGCAAATCAGCATCATTTCATTGACTAGCACGATGCAGCAAGAAACCAAACTCCTCTTCTGTAATCCTAACCCACCACCAACCTTGTCCCAGTCCTAAGAGTACCCTGACAAATACTATGAATCAAAACAACAGCTGTCATCCGATTCCTACAGCTCATGCAACATCCAGAAAAAGCAGAGCTATCCATCCTTTTTCTTATTCCAAAAAAAGTGTTGTGTTTGATTATTTTTTTTTACAGTCTTTCATGGGCCCCTGAGCTACAAAAAGTATTTATATTGAATGGGATGTATGCTTTATGTATAATGTTTGAGCAAACAATTTATATTCAAGAGTTATTAAGGCTATTTTTGTAATTGTGAAGGTTGGGACTGACAAAGGAACTGGTGAGGAGTGTTACTTCTTATAAAATACTGTATAGGCCCCAAGCTTTGTTGGGTGGTATTGGAAGGGGCTGTTGGCTCATGGTTCATTTCAGTGGAGATCTCTCTTAACCAAGGTTCTCTGAGATTATGGCTACTGCCAAGGCAAGTAAAAATAGATGTGAAGATTTTGTTTTCTCTCTGAATTATCTATGAGTCCTAAAGCTACTGATAGTGGCAAAAGTTTATGTTTCCTTTGGTTTCAGCTATTGGTTATCTGAGTGTCTTATGATGGGTGTTAGAAGTAGGAGTAGGCTTGGAGGAAAGAAACAATGGACAGTTTATTTTCCTGCTGTCCTATCTTATATGAAGCTAAATATTTAGGTATGGATTTAGATCAGAAGAAACAATTAATCATATTGATTCTGGTGCCATTATTAATTAATTAGCTATGTATCTTGAAGCTAGCGTAAAGATTATGAATTATAACTAAGGTTATGCTTTTGGAGTGAAAAAGGAGGAATTATCCTTCATACTGAATTTTCAATAAGCCCCCATAGACTTATGGTTCATATTTTGTTGTGATGTAATTACAACTTCCCATTTTTTTCCTAAAATTTGGATAATGGTTACAATTTTGAAGAAGGAATGCTGATCTTGATCTCAAATTGTAAATCTAATCCAAACCCTAACCTTTCCTTTACTTAAATGCAATAACTGCGAAAACTGCATGAACTGCTTACCTACATTAAGCAAAAACTACTCTCCCCATCAGTCCCATCTCTTATCGTATCCACGCAGCTGTGCAGGATTTACTCTTTAATCCTGATGGAGATATATCAGATTTTATCATTTAACAAGTTGATCTCCAGTTATTTTACAGTTTTCTGTGATTGTTCCCCCTTAAATATTATCTAAACTATTAAAACTATAAAACCATATATTATCTTTTAAAAACAAAAAACCAACAAACATTGAAGAGGAAGGAACCAGAACTAGAATTAAATCAAATTTGGTGGATATTTCTGAACATGTCATCTGCAAAATATATACACCATTGGTTCATGTTATGTTGTCTAGGTGATGAAATCATAAGGATGAAAGACAATTACAAAAGGAATACTTCAAAAAGTAGAATAAGCATAAGCACAGTTAGTATTTTCTTTAGTGATCTTGTCATCCTCTTTCTGGTCTCTGTTCATACAGAAAACAGTGGTGAACAAGCTTTTCAGATTCTGTGTGAGTACAGTCAATGTCTACATGGGAGAATAGCATTGTGGGCAGCTGAGATATTCTGATGATTTGTTTTATGTTTTATATATATTTTCCTCTTGGTTTGCATATTTAGATCCAAACTGATAGCATTTTTCCAATTCAGTAGAAAAAAATCCCATTGTGTTCCACAGTCTGAACCTCAGGCAGTACTTGTTAACTGATTTGCTTATTTATAAAGAGAAGTTTGAAATGCATGAGAGAAAAGACCACTAATGCATTGGTTGCTGTATTACAGGTTGGATTCATGAATGATGGTAGACTCATAGCTGCAGATTTCCAGTGCTATATCAATGGTGGCTGTACAAAAGATGAATCTGAGTTGGTAAGTCCTTCTTCACTGATACCACTTACACTGACTGAACTGGTCACAAAAAGAAAATAACAGCTCTTTGTCACAATTAATTTCTCTTAAGAATGTGTCTATTCTTGTTAAGTACAACTCTCATCTGCCTAAAGTAAAAATGCATCTGTGGCCCTGATGTCAGTTATGGAATATCATTAAGGAGGTACAATGTTTCCTGTCAGGTGATATTGGACATAAAATATTCATATTTAAATGTTCAGTGAAGACAGAGAGACAAGAAGTTTTATTAGGTAGCTTATTTTAATAAAGTTATTCCATCACTTCCCCAAAACTGAAGGTCTGATTTTCCCCTCAGTAATGCTTCTTTATGCTATTGTAATTCCTATGAGTTAAATGTAGTTTCTGTGATTTAAATGCAGTTTCTTTACTTGCATTAGTGTAAAAACATCAGAACAGCCTCCTGAATATAGTTCTACTCCTCCTTGAAACAGTTACATCTCATTGGTCTCTTGCTTGTCTTTCACAAGTTTAACTGTCTTTTTAAAGGAAATGGAACCATGTGAACAACTATAATCTCTTGTTACAGGTGATTGAGTACATTGTGTTGAAAGTGGACAATGCATATAATATACCCAATCTCCGAGTCAGGGGCCATGCCTGCAAGACTAATTTGCCTTCTAATACTGCCTTCCGAGGATTTGGGTTTCCCCAAGCAGGTCTATTTTTGGAGACCTGTATTGTGGCTGTGGCAACTCAGACTGGCCTACCACATGAGAAGGTGAAAGAACTAAGACTGCCAAATAAAACATAGGATAACAGAGAATTCTAGAACCTAAACTGTCAGAATCTCCTTGTGCTTAAGCCAGGTTTTGTAGAACCAGATCTTCCAACTTTACTTGGGCTGAATGGTACTTTATTCAGCATCTATGCTTCCATGGAATAATACTTGACGTAATACAGATAAGAGTGGGGAAAAATGGCCCAGGATCTGTTACAAAATGTTTGATGATTGCCATTAGTATAACGAGCTTCAGTCAAAACAGTATAGTCTCTTGTACTGTGTGACCAGTTTCAGATTGCTTTGTGTATGTTCAGCTGTCACCTGCATTTTGGCTTCTCAGAACTGGACTTCCCATCTTTTCTACCCATCTATCTATCAGCAGTTTAGCTAGCTGCCTCCCGCCATGCCAGTTATCAGGTTGACACTTTTGGCTTCTCCCCAGCCTTCAGAGACAGTGTCCCAACATTTTCAATTGTTGCCTTTCCAGACTTCAAGATCTATCCTTTCCTTTCCTTACACTCTGCTTTGCCCAGTGTAAGTTTTTCCTCTTTTATATGTGCCAACCTCTTGTATATTCAAACGATGGTTTATAAATCATTTTACTTTCCTAGGATGTCAACCATCATGTCTTTTCCCTATTTCCTTGACTCTTCTCCCTCTTCCATTTACTTGCTGTCATTTACTACATTTCAGGAAAGCTTTCAAACACATCCCAAAGGCCATTTTTTTTAGCTTTAACTTCTGCTTTCACTAGTTTCACTTACTATTTGAGTTTACCAACCTTCTTTGCATGAAAAAGTGAATTGTGAACAATCCCCCTGACACCACTTAAGTTCACAGGCATTTGACATGAGCAAAAAAATCAGGCCATTTGAGCAGTGATTTCCTTACAGAAAGGGATATGACATTAGGTTTGATATAGATAAGTATTAATCATATTACTATATAATTATATGACACATAATTATATTCTGTGTAATATGTCAATGTATTATAAGGCGATGTTTTATTTCAGTACTGCATAAATTTGCTTGCTGTTCAGGTTAGGGAAATAAACATGTACAAAGGAGTTAACCTAACATCCTTCAAAGAAGAGTTTGATGCAGAGAATCTGTGGCAATGTTGGGAAGAATGTTTGGACAAGTCTGACTACTACAGACGAAAAGCAATGGTGGAAGAATTTAACACAAAAAATTATTGGAAAAAGAAAGGGATTTCCATAATTCCCATGAAGTTTTCTGTTGGATTCAATGCAACGTATTTTCATCAGGTAACCTCTTCGAAATACTGCTTTTGCGATCTAAGATTTCTACTTTTCTCTCCAAAAATAGAGGAAGTAAAGTCTCTACAGGCAGGAAGGAAAGAGAAAAGAATTCCCACATGCTGGACTAGCATGAAATATCATCCACTGAGATATACTTTGTTTTAAACAGAATATAACTTTGTCTGGCTGATCTCTTTATAAATGCTTACTCAGTATGAGATGGGGCTTTGAGGAACATGGTCTAGTGAAAGGTGTCCCTGGCCACGGCAGGGGGGTTGAACTAGATGATCTTCCCTTGGGTTGAAGGTCCCTTCCGAACCAAGCCATTCTATAATTCTATGAGTATTCACCTCACAGAAATATGAATTTCAGATTCCCAACATGTTATCTTTATCCAGCAAAAAGCTAAATAATTCACTGTAAAAATGTGGAACTTGGAACCGTTCATAATCTGGTCCATCGTAAGAAAAATTATCGCTCCTATTGTTCAGATAGTGCCATTTGTATGATAGGTTAAGCTCTGCTAGTGGAATTTTTTATGGCTCAAGATAGTGGTATTTCTGGGGAAATTTTCCAGTTGCGATTTTATTTTTTTTTAATTCATACCTTGAACCAAGAATTGTTTGAAATGAGTTTCTGATTAAATTAACAAACTTCATTATATGTTTATGAGGGTATAATGCATGAAAAAGTAAATCCATGTGGTTCATATGTTAGTTATTTGTTCCATCTCTTGACTGCTTCTGCATAAGTTTGTAGACTAAGACCTCAGAGACAGATTAATATATTTCATCTAACAAAATTCTCATGGTAAAGAAACATTGAATCTAGGAATCACAATTCATCTGATACAAAAGGTCAAAAAAAGGCATAAATAATAGCTACATTTCACCAAAACCTTCAAAATAAAATCATTACATTGAATTTCTAAAAATGTACATCTAAATCTTAGAGAACAGATTTTGTTGTTTAATCTTATCTCTTGTCAGCTAAGACTCTAACTGACATCAGCAGAATGATATTTGATCACAAATGTCACAAGTTGGCACCAAAGAGACCGCATGACCATTATTTCTCAATGTAGTTTTAATAATAAATAAAAAGATGTCCCAGACGCACTGTATTTCACAACACCTCTAAGGCTCTACTGTTGGCTCTCTGAGTATTGGTAGCTGGTAGCATGCTACAGTGAAATGCCTCTTTACAGAATTTCTAGTTCTCTTTCATATCCACTTGTTCCTTCATAGCAGTGGATGGCTTGTGGATTTCTTTCATCACCATTCCTTGGGAAGTTATTTGTTCCTGATTTTACCAGGAATTAAAGTTCATTACTTCCATTCCCACCTGCTTCTTGCATTTCCCCTGTAAGGTAGCTATTTTTTGGCATGAGGCTGCACCAAAATACGAACAGAAAGTGAATCGGGTTCTAAGCCATTCCCTTGACAGCCTGTGAGAGAGAATGAAAGAGCAATTGTGTCATTGCTCCTTCAAAATTATATACTATGAACATCAGTATATTATTATCCATCCCTGTATGGATACATCCAAACAAAAAGGGCTAGGACTAATCATTCAGTTTCAGAAAAAGTACAACTCTGTTGTTTTTTCTAAAAGAAAAGCTCTATAGATATTCATAGTAGGAGATACTTTGCCATCCGTCCCAAATGCCTTTGATTCCAGGTTTGAAGTCTGCTCTGTCCTCCCTTTTATTGTGAATGAGGAGGGAATAGTACCTGGGGCTACACATACATTATAACTAGAGCCAGCATGTTCTTAATTCACACAGTTTCAAGAGAAGAAAAATATGTTTTTCTGTTATTTGAACTAATTGCTATGGTCCCTGCAGAACTCCTGTGAATAACTATTACCTCATTTAGAGTCTCTCCTGTCATAGAGCAGTGAAATTTATTGTTATGAGACTGCTGGAGAATTTCCACTCACTTTTAATAATATACTGATTCTTGTGAATTAAATCTGTCTTTCCATTGTTCTTTTTCTTATGCCCCTTTGTTCAGTGCAGTGATTACCAAGTTTCTGTGGCTTTTCTTTAGGCTGGGGCTCTCGTCCATATCTATATAGATGGGTCTGTCCTAGTCACTCATGGTGGAATTGAACTGGGACAAGGAATTCACACTAAAATGTTACAGGTGAGTTAGTTAGTATCTGGGGGTAAACAAAATACAACAAGAAATATAACTGAGCCAAAAGGATGCATGGCACTGGGAAGCGCAATAGGCAAATTCTATAGACATATGAAAGCTAAGTTTAATATTGGGTTGTTGCTTCTGAGTTATTGATGAAGACAAAACTTGGGAAAAATATAAGCTATAATCAAAGTGATCTTTCAAGACCTAGAAAGGAGATTAACATCTTTGTGGTAACGTCACTGTTATTAGGATAGCTAAGGCACAGAGAGTACATGCCAAAATGACCCAGTGTTTTTTGCAGAGGGAGTTAAAGTGCTGAAAATTTAACTTTGTAGTGTATACAACACCAATGATAACATTGGTTAATTTTTACGCCTTTCTGGTGTAAATAGTGATAAACAAAACTATGTGCCAAATATGTCATTTTGGAGCTAAAGTGAGGCCACTCCTTCAAAATGAGCTGAGTGAACGTTTGAATATTAGAACACTGTGAAAAACAATAAAGGGGGAACACTAATCAAGCCATTTCAAATGTGATAGAAAATCAAATATACAGATAAGATTTGAAACTCCATGAGGAAAAATGATGCATTGTTTTTTTAAATTAAGTTTTCTGTATGTAACCAAAACCTAATTACAGACAGCAATTAATTAGAGACAAAACATATAGTATTGCATTGTATTGTTTTAGCTTATCTTTTATTACCTGAATTTACAAAATATTTGTTTTACAGAACAACTGTTAAGGAAACTTCTGCATTTGCCCTAGTCATACTATTACTGCAAAATTAGGTCATTTATCTGTGTATATTTATAGAGAGAGATGAACGGCACGATGAATTCCTGACTTGAGATTGCATTTTCAAGTGGGACTGGATATATTTTGTTTACTTTTATTACAGATTGCCAGTCGTGAACTGAAAATTCCACTGTCATATATTCACTTCTGTGAAACAAGCACAACAACTGTACCTAATGGCAAATACACAGCAGGATCAATTGGAACGGAAATCAATGCAAGAGCCGTCCAGGTTAGACTGATTACCATTTCTTTACATAATCAGTGGTTCTGTTGAATAATGAATATCCCTCTGAGGATTCATAACTTTGTTTTAGTTTTGAGCTGCTTGCAGTTCTTTTATCTCAAAATCTCTTTTGCTAATTTATTTTTCAGGTACTTTTTTTAAATAACCAGACTGAAACACCCTTATCCACTTAAATACTTTGGAACCAATACTGCTTTCATTTATTTTGTAATAAATCATTCAAGCCAGTGGTTTTCTATCTAATAAACCAAAATAGGAGGAGATTCAAGTCCTCTATCTTCTTTTTGTTGATGGTTTCAGTGATAGCCTGGTATACGAATACTTCAGTTACATTAGAGCAGACGCCAATGCCACTCTTCACAAAGTGCTGCAGTTAGCAGAGTAAAGAAATTGTAGGTAAATGAACAGAATTACAGCCCTCAGAATGAATTTAACAAACTAACTTCACCAAGAAAGAGCTTGTATTGCTTTGAAAACAGCAGATGGATTTGGGTTTGTGTGTTGGTCAATAGGTGCCCAACCTTCTTCCTCCCTAGGATGCTTGTCAAATCCTTTGGAAACGTCTGGACCCCATACGAAGAGACAATCCTAATGGCAAATGGGAAGACTGGGTAAATATCTCTCTCTGTTTCTTACTATTAAATTATGATAAACTCATGAGTGTAGAGTGGAAGCTGACATTGTTCTGGAGGGAGGAAGGGGCCTCCCTGCATGAAGTAAAATGGAGGAGAGGAAGAGAATAAACAGTGTAAAAGCAAGTGGTGTAACACAGTGTCCTGGTAAATCTGGCCAACTTCTGAGATTCTGCAATGTGTCCGCCCCTAAAGATAAGTTCAGGGCACAGGGGAATGTAAAGCATTTACTTAGGGCTCTTTTTTCTTTAAAATGGTTTCATCTTTTCTTTAAATATGAGGTAAAGATTTTTTAAATTTTCTCTCCTTAATAATGAGTATACCTTTTGCAGATCAGTGAAGCTCACAAGCAAAGCATCAGTCTTTCAGCTACTGGTTATTTCAAGTAAGGAAAGCCATTAGTCTTTTTTAATTTCTCATCATTGGAGGTGCTACTTTGTCAATAAGTTGCAGGAAGGATAAAACTGTCCCCATTCAACCTTCTCAAGGCCATATCAGATACAATACACACACCATTAAGAAGTTGCCTGGACCAGAGACTGCAGTGTTTAACAAGAGGCAACCCATATTGATTTCAGAAGCACTTTATATCCTTGGTTAGCTAGTTTGATAGTTGATGCACAGAGTCTTCTCCAAGGTCAACTACAGTAGGACACAAGAGGCCCACAAGGAATTTTGTTCCGTGGCCATCATGGTTTGCAACCCTCCTGTCCTCCCAAATCATTCCACACAACATGTATTTGTCACTGGTGCTACACCCTAGATTGTCTTTGGCTACAGGGATCCTATGAAAATTGTTAGTTTAGAGCATTTATGATATATATCATGTTATGATTCCTGTGGTGATCTCAACAGTGAGGACAAGGATAGGGTGTGGTGGATAACTTGATAAAATTCATCTAATCTGAGAGATGCTCTTACTTCCTCCAGAGGTTATGATACAAACATGAACTGGGACACACAGAAAGGCCATGCATTCCCATATTTTCTGTTTGGAGTTGCATGTTCTGAAGTAGAAATTGACTGTTTGACAGGAGGACACAAGGTAATGTCAAAAGATACAGTGAACTTGAAGTAGAGTTGGGTGAATTTGCCACCATCATTACATTCATATGATATTTTTTTCTTTTGATTCTTCTGCCTAAGAATAGAGACATAGTCTGTTGGATGTATTCAGCAAAATGCCAGCAGAACAATAAATAGCTATATGGCTCTTTACAACATAATTTGTTCATCCTGTTCTTGTGACAGAAGTCTAATGTTAACCAGAAGAATAAGAAACACTATGAGAACAGCAAAAAATAAAGAAGGTCTAATGTTTCTACCATATATGATGGCTTTGAAATTCAATTAGACCTTCTGAACATCTCCCTACAGGTTAGGTCTTCAACAAGATGACCATATCATTAGTTAAGTCCCCTTTCTAACAGATTTACATTTAAAACAGGTGAAACCATAATCACATAACGACCTGTTGCAAAAATGGGATTTAGTACAGGGACAGCTCTCAGCAGCATTGTATGGAGACCATCCAATGTCTTCTGGCTTCTGGGGAAGCATGTTTGGCTGCAGTCACTGCCAGGCAGCTAGCAGACCATGTGGAGCTAGGCTCCAAAATCACCGGAGTCTGTGAACCTCCTCAAACTACACCAGGCTGAGATTTAGAAGAAGCCACTGGACCTTGCGTAAGAACAGCCCAGTAGACATTCTTCCCTGTCCCCTCCTCTACATAAGGAACTTCTGTTCAGGTGACTTCCACACTCACAGCAAAGCAAGGGAAGTTGCTAAACATCACTTCAAGCAATTCAGTTTCTATAGGAGAACAAGCAACAAAGCCATTCTTGAATTCATGATCATCCTGTTACTTGTGGGATGTGCATATCACATTCCAAGCTTCAGACAACCACCAAAAATGCATGAACTCTCCATCAACACAGCCTGTCTCAAGTAGCTTTCATGTTTCAGAATAAATGTATAATACTTGTGATGACACTTCTTTTGTGGGTGAGACTATATATTGTTTGGGATCTCTTTGTTGTTGTGTATTTTAAATATAACTTTGTAACATCTTTTATTTGTTTAACAGAACATCAGAACAGACATTGTCATGGATGCCTGTTTTAGCATAAACCCAGCTATAGATATAGGACAGGTATGAACTTCCATTATTTTGCTCTATATTAGATGTTAGTGAACATTTTCCTTTGTGCCTAAATGATTGCTGTTATTGGTCATAGTCCCCAAGCAAATATCTCCTCACTGGAGTTCTTGTGAGCAATAAGCTTGAGGTCAGTAGATTTGACTCAATTCTCTTTGGCAATTTTGTCAAAGCAAATCAGAGGTAATTGTACTAGTTACAGTGAGTTTAGCCAGGAATAAGGAAGAGTGGAACTCGAGCCAATGAATATATTTGTATAAGCCAGATGAGGACAGCTTGGTCCTATTTTGGAAGGAAAAGATGCCAGTTCATGTGTAATCTTAGAAAGCAAGTCTAATTGTATCTATGTTTTTATCTTTTAAAATGACTGAATGAGGTATAAAAGTTTACCTTTTTTTCTTTGCTCAGATTGAAGGGGCCTTCATTCAGGGAGTTGGTCTTTATACATTAGAAGAAATCTACTTTTCCCCAGAAGGAGAGCAGCTCACTCTTGGCCCAGATACATATAAGATCCCTTCAATCTGTGACATTCCTGAGCAGTTCTGCGTCTATTTACTGCCAAATTCACGCAACTCCATTGCTATCTATTCTTCCAAGGTAAACATGACAGACTTCCTGTTTGCAAGCACACCAGGTGATTCTGCTGCAAAACCGTGTTTCATGATATAGATAAAGAATTCCACTTGAATATAGAAAAGGTAGTTTATGTGAGAAGTCATGATTTATTTCATGGTTTTATAATGTGAGCACTGAAGTCCCAGCAGGAAGCTTTTTAGATAGTGTAGCTGTATTGTGAATTTTAAAATTATTCCCATCAGCCAAATCATGGTCCTTGATGTTTTTCTGATTTGAAAGTTCTCAGAGATCCAAGGAAAAATTTTGAATACAAATATGCTGGACATGACCAAATACTGAGCTGGTGTGATTCAGTGTATTTCACATAACTACAGTGGAGATGTGCTGATTTAACTCTCTACTGTCAGTTTCTAAGGCCAGTCTCACCAGCTGCCTCTCTCTTCTGCCAGGGCATCGGTGAGGCTGGATTTTTCTTGGGCAGCTCAGTGTTCTTTGCAATACGAGATGCAGTGGCTGCTGCACGGAAGGAAAGAGGTCTGCCGCTGGACTTCACACTGAACAGCCCCTTGACTGTTGAGCGGATTCGCATGGCCTGTGATGATGTCTTTACTGACATGGTAATGTTCTTTTCATTCCTTTCATGAGCTAGCCATCTGAATGGACTGTGCACATAGACTAATCAGTGAGTCAAATCTCTTTTCTTCAACATGCCACGATTAGCAGAGCTTTGGACTTTATTTAATCAGTGGCACTTTGCTCAGCTATGTTGACAGAGTAACATGAACTGACAGTCCAGAACTGAGGAACCTGTGCTTCTTCCTCAGTGGTAATGCTTCCAATTTATATATCTCCTTTAATCTAAAAGCCCTTGAAAGAATTTTTCAGATTATTGTCTGACTTCATCTTTAGTGTCACTTTATTTGCACATCTATTAGGAACTATGACTACATCTAGACACAGAGTAGGTGTGCTCCAGCATTTTTCCTCTGCTCCTGGTCCAGATTGATTCCACTTTGAACCGTGTACCCCAGTTTCCTTCTTTTCTTCCGTGAAAACCAGGGAGGTGGAAATATGGGCTGATATGCATCCAGGTCTTGTCACAACATGGAGTTAGAACACAGGCTGGGTACACAAGAGCACTCCCAAATAAAACATTTTAGATTTATGTTTCCATGCAAGCATCACCATTGACAGTATCATCCACAGAATCTAAGGGTGCAAATTTAAGGTATTCACTGAAATACCTAAGGGCCTAAACTGTCTAGGTCCCAGTTACTTCATATGAACTAATTTTCTGTGTCATAGAATCATAGAATGGCCTGGGTTGAAAAGGACCTTAAAGATCATCTAGTTTCAACCCCCCTGCTGTAGGCAGGGTTGCTGACCACTAGAGCAGGCTGCCCAGGGCCCCATCCCGCCTGGCCTTGAATGCCTCCAGGGATGGGGCATCCACAACTTCTCCAGGCAACCTGTTCCAGTGACTCACCACCCTCACAGTGAAAAATTTCTGCCTAATATCCAACCTAAATCTCCCCTCTCTTAATTTAAAACCATTCGCCCTCGTCCTGTCACTATCAACCCCTGTAAATAGTTGCTCCCTCTCCTGTTTATAAGCTCCCTTCAAGTACTCCCTTCAAGTGATGATCTGAGAAGTATTCCTAGAGCTGCCTGAGTGAAGACATCCTTGTTTTTTATAAAAAGGCAGAGGCTAGCAATGATTCTTCCCATTGTACAATCCATTTCCAGATGATTTTGTGAGATCCCTCCACGTTGACCTTCAGGTCATGCTCTTTGTTTTCTGTAATTAAGAAATATTCAGAAGACACTGAAATGATGGGGCATAAAAAAAAGACAATGGATTTTTAGATACCCAGACCTTCTTCCTTTTTTTTTTTTTTTTTACAACATGCAAGATGCCCATTTTCTGCCTATCTCAGGCACTATAATTACTTTGCAGAGTTGATGTGTAGCTTTGAGAACGGTACAGGTCCCCACTCTGAAAGTGCAACACAGTGCCAACTTTGGCTGCTTTTGACATACCACTATCTTCTAATATCTTCCCTCTCTCACAGATGGAACAGGTACCCACAACTGGTGGACTGTTCCCTTTTATTGAATTTTCCCCATGGTCACTGAAGTTATTTGGATAACCACCTGTGTGTTTTGCCTCTGCTTTCTTCAAAATGAGTACAGCAAGAAAATGTACCCACACCCTTGCAGTTCTCCATGTCTTTTTTTCCAGAGTAGTGCCTTCAATCTGTGCTTCTCATATCTTGCATTTCCCTCAGTAGAAGGGGTTGTCAGGACAGAGCAGTAGCCTGCTGGAGAGTACTTATTTTTGCTGGACTATGAGGCAGTAGCCAACTTCTCTCCTCCTATCTGTTCTAGCCAACAATGATCATGCAAGAGTTTCTTCAGAAAGGAAGGCGAGATGGGAATAAAGACATTGTTTTCTGACTTAATATCTTTATCCACTTCAACAGGTTTTCCACTGCATTCATCCTTTTGGCACTGTAAAAGTCGATCTATCTGGAGTTGCCTAATATGTTGTCATTTGCACAAAATGGATTTTAGCAACGATTCTCCCTCAATCCATTTCCAGTCAGAAAGCAAACTAAACAAATGCTTTGGGGGCCTGGAAAATAGGAAACACCAGACCAGACTGTGACAAGGCTTTAATTAAATCTTTCAACTTAAAAAGCCCCACAGACCTGAGTTTGAGTAACTGTGTTGTACCCTGGGCTGAAAATTTCTCTATGAAAAGGGACACAAGTTGGGTCATGCGAAACTGCTGGCCCCCATCTCTTCCAATAGCAGCCAGCTAGAGACCCTCTGACCTCAATCTGCCTGGAGGCTGGGGCCGTGAATCCCTCACCCTTCCACTTCAGCTTCCTTCTGTGCAGGATATCCAGCAGTCAGGTCTTTCACAGTGATAAAACTTCTCATATAAATAGAAGTAATAACCAAGATCAAGAACCTTTGTGGGCTAGGTATTGTGCAAAAACTTGGTAACAACTTAGAATTTAAATAAAGGTGAAGTTGTTATCCAGTCATCAGGAGTTGATGTTCTGTCTCCCGGAATGCCCTCAGAAATGTAGGATTTCCTTGCAAACATCGTGGCCTCCATGATTTAATGAAGTCTCATTAAACCATGTTGCATAATGGAATCTCATATGTCAGTTCCTCTAATCTGAGCCTTTCAGGCTGTGAGCTCACCTGTGCTATGCAGGTATGTGCTTAATTGCCTGTTCAATTACAAGTATGCCACTGTTGACTAGAGGTAAGTTGGTTGATTTCACATCCCTTTATGACATGAGAAAGTGGGGATTTGTGTGTGCAGTGACATTTAAATAGCTGATAAGGAACATGAATTTGTGAATTACAGTAAGTTTTCTTTCCCCTTTGCAAAATGATGTTGTTTTCTTTATATTTTCTTTCAGATTCCAAAAGATAAACCCGGAACTTACAAGCCATGGGCCATCCGTGTAGATTAATACTGCTTTACTAAGTATCAACCACGTGACTCCTTCAGCCACTTACTTTTTTTTTTAAAGAAGTAGAACTGTAATACGTACACACACAGATACACATTTATATCTGTCTTTGTAGAACAAGATTCTACAAAGTTCTACTGTCCTGCCAAGAGGCCTCTCATTTGGAAACATACACTTCTTTCTAAATCAAATTGTGTTCCATGCTACACTGGAGTAGTTCTGGAGTTACCCCATGGACTTCAAAGAAGTTGCATGCAATTTTGAAAATATCTGCAATGAAGAGCAGATCACAAATAGTACCATTTTGCCACTTCTGCATCCAGTTTCAGATTCACAACAATTCTGTATTTCTGTTCTTCCAGTACATGAAAATTCCAAAGATCAGAATTAGACACTGTACAAACCAGTGATGGGCAATCTATCAATATTACAGTAGAACAGAGATTCTAAAAGTACATACTGCCAAATGTTTTTTAGATACTGATATATTATTACTACCACAGTAATACTCTAGTATAGCTCATTACTTCCTGGCAGCCCATCTCAGGCCTGCTCCGTACCATTAGATCTCTCTGTCAACTTTGACCTCTCTCAGAGATGGAATAAAATCACTGCTCTTCACTGCATTGTCAGTTCTCACTCCTCTCCTTTGCCCTACCCACAGTTTTGTTCCTTCTTTCGAGAAAAGTGGTGAAGCAGGACATAGCTGATGCATCCATCTGTAGGTAAGGAGAGGGCACAAGGTGAGGGAGGTGTGCTGGAGGTAGGAAGGGTACCAGCTTTGAGTGAAGTTCATAACAGAGGTGAGGATTTCTGCAATAACATAGATTAGTGAGCAAAGATACAGGAGAACAGGCCACCACATCTGTAAAACCTCACGGGCTTCTTATCCAACACATTCATTTTGAGATGGGGTTGCCCATTGCAACCATCAGCAGGTATATGTAACAGACGTGCAGCAGGGAACTGATATGAAAAGGTGGAGGGGAGCAGGGCTGGGAGCAAACAATGACAGTATAAGCTCATCGTTAAAAATAGGTGTGTCAGCTCACAGTTTAACTCAGCTGTGCCAACATTATTTCTGTCACTCTGACAGAGGTTGTTTTAGAAAGGAGGTTTTAAAATCATGCAGTGGCAGCTGTATGAATCTTGATGGAGCATTTCCCCGTGAGGAGAGAAGACTGAGAAGCAAGCACAAAGGAAACAGCTGAGCTGAGCCAGCATAAGTATACAGACAAACGAATATTCAACTTTCACATTTGATAGTTCAAAGCAATGAAATTAACAGTAAGAACATCTTTAACATTGCATACCCAAGACACTAAGTTACTAAGAAGTAACTCTGGAGATACTGAACAGGTATTGCATTAGTTCAGATCCTGTACTCATTTACATAAACCTAAATCTAGACTATTTTCATTTATTTTAAGGGTGAGAGTGCAGGCTTAAATTAGCATCGTATAGAAGAGAGTGTGGCCTGCACACACCTTTAGAAAAGTCATATTTAATCTAAATCTGTAGAGATACAATAATATTTTATTCACTTACGAATAAATCAATATTTCAAGTAATGAGGAAATTGCTAGCTTACGTGGGTAAAGTTTTCCTGTTCATTTCTCTTGGTAAACTGTGAAAGACTACAGCTAATGGGAGGAGCTCAACTGGCAATATGCTTTGCAATTTTGTAACATCAAAGACTTTAAGGAGCTGACAGCAGGAACTATCATGTCTTTTTCTTAAAATGCAATTTTCATAATCTGATTTATCTTCTTGGCTTGTTGTTTAATAGTGATGTAGATAAATGCTCTCATTTTAGAATGAGTACCAAAGCAATCAGTGCTTTGAGTTTAGAACGAATGAACAAATATTTGCAAATATTAAGGTGAAAATCCTCCCTCTGAATGTGATCTCCTTTAGGGTATTTTTGAATGTAGTACTTTGGGGATTTCATTGGGCTGTTAACTGGAATTTGCTTAAATAAGTCTTTAATAAAAGCAAACTTGTAAGGCACTGTCATGCTATTGTGTGACACTCTGATTTATAACCAATATTATTTCAAGTTAAAAATAGCAATGAAAATGGTGCGAGATGCAATCTGGCTCCTACTGACAATAAGAATGACTTGTGTTTCAGCTTGAAGTTCAAGCGTGTGACTTTGCAAGCCTGGTGCTTTCCCATTAATCTACTGCAATAATGAATTTTGTAGCAACAGACACACTGGACTGGGGCTGTGGGCCTTGGGGGGTCTTACGTAGAGGTGACAGCAAGGGAGGGGTCTGGGACTGGATGGACTGAGCGTCTAAGGCCAGTTACCAAAGGGGTGCTTATTGTGTGTGTGTATATATCTATATCTACATTTCCCACTGACGGACTTTCATGCTAATCAGTCACAGAGGGGAACAGGACAAGGCTATCGGTGCTGTTTGTGTTTGCATGGGTGCAGAGTGTTTGTCTGTGTTGATCTGTGTGGCTGGCTGCATTTATATGGCTATATGTGCTAGACAGGTGTTTGCATGTTTGCTTGTTGAGAATATACGCTCAGCCTTGCTAGTCGTTGCACCTTGGGGAACGAAGCTGCATCAGCCTCCCCTCTATTGTGCTGATGCAGCCCATAACATGTTCATCTAAATAAATTGTACTTATTGCAATTGAGGCTCTCATAAGCATGGAAGAGTCACCTTGTACAACTGAGATAAATTGTATTTTACTTCCAGCTGCACGTACAAGCACTCTATCTCCAGAAAGGATGGTGGTTTTATTCCCACATTCATGTGTCCATGCACGGCAAGCATGGGCTTACTTTTTCCTTATTTTTAAAGCTTTCCTTTTTTATATATACCCAGTGTGTATCTGTCTTGCAGAATGGACAAATATTTATTTTACTACTTCCAAGTTTTACTCTAGTTTTAACCTGTAAAGGTAGTGTAATTAAATGAATGCTGGGCTGGGTGATTGTGCAATGCCTGTAGTCCAGGTGAGAACAGACAGTGGAAGGTAAGCAGCCTCACTGGAGAGATGGCCTTTAAGATAATCAATTGAATAAGACAGCAGGATCAAATGCAAGCTAACCAGTTCTGCTTGGATGAAAGAATTTTGCAGATAAAAGGTAAGATTCTTTTTTTCCGGGCTTTAAATATAATCTCTAGATAAGGAATGTTTTCCTAAGCATAGATATATTGAAGGATAAGGCTTTCAAAGAACGTCTACTGAAAAAAAAAATTCCAGAATTGGTGTGTTCCCCAGCTTGTGTGTGGCTGATGCAGATCACTTAGAACGCTGTATAAGGACACCAAAGGACAATGCTCCTCCTTTCTTACTTCTGAAAAATTACAACTTAGCTGAGAGGTACGATGACCTCTCTGCTAGGCCAGACAAGATGAAAGAAAATATTCACAACCAAGGAAGGGGTTTGTTGGGATAAAAAAGAAATAGAGCTGGGGGTGCCCTTAATTGAAAAGTCATGGTTGTGTAGGTGACCCCACTTTTCCCTCCTGAAGCACAGTGGCTTGTTCTGTTTATATGCCTGAAAACTGGTAATTTCAAGAGCTTTAGTCAAAGGAACATTATACTTTACACCTGGTGGAAATTTGGCAGCTGTGTGAGGTCCAGAGGGAAGCTTGTGATCTCTAGGTTAGTTTAGTGGTTTGCCCTTTTGCGGAGCAAATTTGCAATTGCATCTCCTGTCCTGTATCAGCATGGAGAATATGTTGCATGTTGTTACATTCAGTCTGGTAGACGTTTCCAGTTTACATGCTGGTATGCAAGTTTGACTGCATATATTTTTCAGACAGTACTCAAAGGACCTACACTAACATACTGGTTTTGTTTATGCTGTCTGCTAAAGGACCGACTGCTCTACAGCCTGAAGATAAGATGAGACCTGTTACCGCAATTGCTGCTGAAAGAACCTGTGTTTTAACTGCAGTAAAGAAAGCCTGCATGTCTGGAACTAACGAACTTCATTCTGTGTCAGACATGACTAGCTTTTAACTGATACTTCTGTCTGTATAGACTAGAATACACAAAGTCTTTATGAGGTGGTGTTACCATCACGATCTGAGGAAAGAATAAATTATTAGAACTATAATAGCAAATTTAGGACTTAATAGTTGCAGCAGGTATCGTATTGACAAAGATGTGAGATTAAAATTGTAAAGCCTCATGAGCGTTTATAACTTTACCACAGAAAAAAAAAAAATAAAAAAAAGAGACCTAGTAAATATACAGAAGCACTGATGGTTACCAGGCTTGGAGGAATGCACAAATGAAAGAATGGTCAAATGTGCCTTTTGTACAGCGCCTAACATGAATGCTAGTCAAGATGCTAATAAAGAACAGACATTCTGGGCACAAATTTAACACAGTAATAATGTTTCTGATCCCTCAGATATACCCATTAAGGAAATCATATGAAACAGCTTGTCAAATCTGAAACCGGACTATCTAACATTTGAAAGTGAGAATAGGGTCTGGGCTAGCAGATTTTCTGACAGCTACTCTATATTTAAATGAACAAAAAATGGCTTGATATAAACTTTGTGTAAAGCTGTTTTACAAGTCTGATTTTTCTAAGCTTAATCAATTAAGACATCAGATCCTCTGAAACAGTCAAGTTACTTTGGCAGGAAGCTTTACAGCTCTTGGTAAATAATCAGATGAACAGGAAAGAATGTAATATATTGATTGATGTTTTCCCCTTCAAAAGCCATGTTTCTGCTGAACAAATAATTCTAAGATTAGGCACGAAATCTTAAAATATTGAAGTCAGTAGCAAAACTCCCTTTTGTGTGATGGGTCCCACTTTTCACCCTGGTTACTTCCGAGTTTTTTCTTCCTTAGCGTCTGAACTAATATGCCAACACCCTATTAGTTGTTCTACTGACTGCTGTTTGCCTGATCACACAGGCTTCCTGTTTTTACCTATCCGATCAATACGCTATTGAATATTTAATGACTGCCTTGGAAAAGACAAGAGCAAATTACATATTTTTTCAAGCAGC